TTTAGGTCCTTTAATTATTACATATTTTATTCCAGCGTGGCTGAAACATTGGCTGTGAGAAAATGAGTAGTGGAAAAGAAAGGCATAAAGGGAGGTGGGTATAAACTGCGGGGACTTCAAAGAGCTAGGGAAGGTCGTAATCAGTTCAGTGGCCAGCTGTGGATCCAGAGGGAGTTTCCATGAAGATCAGTGATGTGAGTATACCCTATGCAGGTTATCTGGAAAACACAGGCGAGCCGACGGTAGAAAAGGTGAAAGGTAGGAAGGCCAGTTAAGAGGCAAGATATGGAACTGAAGAGTCCATCGACACATGAGTGCCTGAGGAGATGCGATAGACACAGACGATGACCATTATTCAGCCAGAGAGAGAAAGAAGTCCTGCTTATCTGTATGGATGGACCTTGAAGACATTATGCTAAGTGCAGAAAGTCTAACATTGTTTGTGTGGAATCCAAAAATGCTGAATTTATAAAAGGCAGTAGAATAGTGGTTGCCAGAGGCGGGGAGAAGGAACAGAGGTAATGCGGAAATACTGGTCAAAGGGTGCAAACGTTCAATAATAAGTTCTGGAGAGCTAGCGCTGTGACTGGAGTTCACAGTGCAGTATTATGGGCTTCCCTGGTGGCTCAATGAGAAAGAACCCACCTGCTAATGCAGGAGATGCTGGTTTGATCCCTGGGTCGGGAAGATCCCCTGGAGAAGGAAATGGCAACTCACTCCAGTATTCTTGCCTGGAGAATCCCCATGGACAGAGGAGCCTGGAGGGCTACTGTCCATGAGGTCGAAAAAGAGTCGGATAAGACTGAGTGACTAAACAACAATAACAACAATGACAATATAGTATTATATTCTTGAAAGTTGCTAAGAGAATAGATCTTAGATGTTCTCATCACAAAAAAAGAAATGGTAATTATGTAAGATGATGGAGGTGTTAACTAATGCGACTGGGGTAATTATTTTGCAAAAGATAAATTAACATGTTGTATTCCTTAAACTTACGAAAGGTCAAATGTCAATTATTGTTCAGTTGCTCATCTTGTCTGACTCTTTGCAACCCCATAAGCTGCAGCACGCCAGGCTTGCTTCCCTGTCCTGTACTATCTCCTGGAGTCTGCTCAAACTCATGTCCATTGAGTCAGTGATGACATCCGACATCTCATAATCCTCTGTGGTCCCCTTTTCCTCCTGCCTTCAATCTCTCCCAGCATCAGGGTCTTTACTAATGAGTTAACTCTTCGCATCAGGTGGCCAAAGCATTGGAGTTTCAGTTTCAGCACCAGTCCTTCCAATAAATATTCAGGGTTGATTTCATTTAGGGTTGACTGGTTTGATCTCCTTGCTGTCCAATGGATTCTCAAGAGTCTTTTCCAGCACCACAGTTCGAAAGCATCAATTATATCTAAATAAAGCTGGGTTGGGGCTTTACTTAGATAGAAGCTGTATGCTGGCTAAACCTCACTGTATTTGCTTACAATGCATTTCATTTCATTTTAGCAACATTAATCTCATTATTTCAAACAACTTATCTATTTCCTATTTTGTTGCCTGTAAGAAAGCTTATACAGGTTTTCCTATTGATGAGTTCAATCAGATATATTCCACTGGTGCCCTTTTAGTTCTGATGCTTAGAAAATGGCAAACCTATATTCTGCATGCTATAGCCAAGGCATCTTTTTGAAACACAATCTGGTCATTTCACCTCCATGAGCAAAATCATTCAAGCAAATAAATAAAATGTATATGATTTTCTAAACCCTTCCTTAACTTGGTGAGCGAAGTTTCCATCCTGCCTGTCCAGTCTCATCTCTCACCTGCACCCTTTGATCCCTCTGACCCAGTCACACTGGCTTGTCACCCCTATTCAGTGTATTCCATCCAGCCACAGGGCCTTTGCAAGTACTACTTCCTCTGTCCAAGGTATATTTCAGCTGGTTAGTCACTACAGATCCCCAAGACCACAGCCAGGGATCGCCTCAGAAATGTGTTTCCTGGTCTCCCTGACAGCGATCACATTATGACTGCATCCCCTGAGAGCACCCTTATTGCTCCTTCCCAGCACTGAGCACAGATGGCAAAGTTACAGTTGTCTGCATAACTCTTCAACTAATCACAGCTTCCTCCATCAGGGGCAGAGTCTGTTGTTCTTACCATTGCATCCCCTGGAAGAAAGTCAATGAATACTTGTTGAATGGAAGAAAAAATAAAAAATAAAGTGGCAGATCTATATTTGATATGTATGCCAACACCAGCTTACTCAATAGTGTGCTTACTAGTGTAATGGAATAGCACTTTCTGACATCTAAGTAAAAAAAGGCCTGGGACTTCCTGGGTGGTCCAGTGGTTAAGACTTTGCCTTCCAATGCAGGGGGTGTGGGTTCAATCCCTAGATGAGGAGCTAAGATTCCACATGCCTTGTGGCCAAAAAACCAAAACTTAAAACAGAAGCAATATTGCTACAAATTCAGTAAGACTCTAAAAATGGTCCACATTAAAAAAAAAAAAAAAAATCTTAAAAGGTAAAAAACGGCCTTGCTTGCAGCTTTCTCCTCACTGGGAAGAATATGCTCTCTGGAAGGCCAGAGTGCATGTTAGAAGACTGACTACCTACCCTGAGACCACAAAGATGGAAAGGCTACATGTATGGATGCTCCAGAGGACATTCTCAGATGCATCCAGACTTTAAGCCAATTCTGCAAAAGCACCAGCCCTGCGAGTGAAGATACTTCCAGATTCTACCCCAAGCATGAAAGGTACCCCCCCCACACACACACATCTGGAGTCTCTTGAGTCCTCCCAGCTGAAGCCCCAGACATCCTGAATCAGAAACAAGCCTTTCTGTTTCTGTTGTGCCCTATCCATGTTCCTGACACAAAGAATCCATGAGGTTTTTTTTTGTTTTTTTTTTCCTTTCTACATTATTAAGTTTTGGGGTGGTTGATGAAACAGTAATAGGTAACTAGAACCATATGTCTAACAAGAGAGGTAATAAACCCACTGGTTATGGAGCCCACACCTGGAATATGATACTAAGTTCTGGGTGACATATTACAAAAGACAAAGAAAACAAGCATACTCAGAGGAGAATAAGAAGAATGTTTCTTTATGGGGAAGAGCTAAAAGGCTTGGAGATATTCAAACCAGAAAAGAGAACAAAGAGTATATATGTTAATTGCCCTCAACTATCTGAAGAGCTATCACAAGTAAAAGTAACAACAATTACTCTGGATATTTCCCAGGAGGGAGGCCTAGGAACAGTGAATGGAAGTTACAGAGAGTCAGATGGAAGTATTTTCTACTGTCCAGAGCTTTCCAGGAAAGAAGAGGCAGCCTTAAGAGGACATGAGTTTCCTAACATGAAAAGTAATCGAGCAGAGTCTAGATGATCACCACCTGGTGGGTTGGTTTGGAGAGAATTCATTTCTGGACCAGAAGGTTTTGAATGAAATACTCTTATTTAAGTTTACCCTGCAACACGGAGATGTTTTTAATCTAAAGATCATCCTCATTTCCTTGTGCTAAGAAATCTAATCCTAATACATGTTGAGCAGAGGGGGAAAAAATACAAGAAGATGAATAAACTGAATGAAAGGCAATACCAAAGTATAAATAGAAAGGGATGCAGAATTCTTGATGGGAAAGGAACGGCGAACTAACAGGAAAATGCAATCTAGCAGAGCAGCAAAGGAACTTTGGAAAAAGATGAGGCATGAAGATGGAACCACAGAAGAGAGAACGGGAAGGCTAAAGATCCCATCATAGATGATCCTGGGTAGGGAAGATGCCGTCATCTTTCTTGAGAAATGGTTTTATTCGTTTTGACACTTGTCTCCTCTGTAACTGGGAAAGACAGACCAGAAGAGCAAGGTAATGTAGCAGTATAAACAACAAGCTCCAAGTGGTAAAATCAGCAAAGCCATTCCATGTGGCTTAGCCAGTAAAGAATCTGCCTGCTAAAGCAGGAGACATGATTGCAATCCCTGGGTCAGGAAGAGAGTTGCCATTTAGATGACATCACTGCAAACAAGGGCTTCCCTGGCGGCTCAACAGTAAAGAATAGGCCTGTAACGCAGGAGACCTGGGTTCGATCTAAAATCCCATGAACAGAGAAGCCCGGCGAGTTACAGTCCATGGAGTGGCAAACAGCTGAACACAACTTAGCGATTGAGCATGCACTTTCAGCCATCAGTGATTTTCTGACCTCAGAAAGATACAGGATCCATGTGCCTATGCAGTCAAGTAAGCTTGCATGGAAGCCATTGTCAGTAAGTAAAAATGACCACTAACGGAAGCAAGAAAAACTGGAGATTCAAACCTGGTTTCCTAACAAAGGCAATGTGAAAAGGAAAACACAAACCACCTAGAAAATGAGATATGTCCAAAGCCAAGTCATCCAGGAAATAGTAACGACAAGAAATGAAAAGAAAGAGGTAAAAAGTTATCTCATACACACATTTCATCTGAATTTTATCACCATTTGTAATCAACTTCCAACATTTCATAATACCCTTTAACCTTAGTTACTCAACCCAGGGAACAAGTCATCTCATTGTTACCGCATTTGAAGGAAGAGTGGAGACTCTTTTCATGTTGATAAGAGGTAGAAAAAGGAGACACTCCCAGGAAAGAAAAGTGTTTTGAGTAAACTCCTAGAGCCTGAGGGTAAGGAATGGTGGTAATTTGTCCCTTGCCTTAACCCTTTCAAAGATTCATCAAACCAGAAGTTAGAAATTAATGTAATTGATAAAATGAAATTTACTGTACAATGCAGGAAGCTCAAATCTGGTGCTCTGTGATAACCTAGAGGGGTGGGATGGGGTGGGAGGTGGGAGGGAGCTTCAGGAAGGAAGGAACGTATATATAGATAAGTTTGATTCATGTTATGGTAGAAATCAACACAACATTATAAGGCAATTATCCTCCAATTGAAAATAAATAAATTAACAACAACAACAACAACAACAAAAAGAACCCAGAAATTTTTCATTACAAAAAAAGAACACAAATTTTATCTTATTACTCACCCATTTCCTAGGTCTGCCTCTTGGCCGTTTTTCTCCAGTGGCTTCTGCTTTCTGCAAAATGAAAAAGGAAGTCATATCATTTCCTACCTGACATTTCTTGTAAGTGCTACAGCGAGGACCCATTCCAAGTAGAATGTTCTGGTTTACACATGAGTTACTGACATTGTTTTAACAATCTCAGTCTTCTTGAAGGCTTATCTTCATTTTTCATTCCATGATGCAAAGAGAGATCTAGGCAACCCTCACCCTAGAAGACTCTCCTGGAATGATCTCTGAAATGCATGAAAATGCTTTTAAAAAGCCATTTTGCAGTAGTTCCCTGGTGGGCTAGTGGTTGGGATTCCAGGCTTTCACTGCCTGGGCCTGGGTTCAATCCCTGGTTAAGACAGAACAAGAGAACAAGAGCACAAGGGTTGAACAAGGTAGGGGTCCCATAAGCCGCATGGTGCAGCCAAAAAAAAAAGAAGCCATTTTATCCTTTTTTCTGTCTGTAATAAAAAAAGGAATTCCCACATATCTATAATTATATAAAGTAAGATTTTAAAAAAATGTTTTTTAAATGATTTTCTTTCTATAGCAAAACTAAAATTATGAAAAGCAGCACTATATATTACTGTACAATTTACAAAGTACTTCTACATTACAAAGTACATTGTTAATCAAAAGCAAATCTAAACGTGAGTGAAAATATACAGGCTTCCAAATCAAAGAAACAAATATTAGCACACCTCTACACAGTTCATTTCCTATTCTTTGCCTCAAACTGTCTATCAGTTCACCCAAAGCAGAGAAAGCAAAATAAGCTGGCAGAAATCATCAATGTTTATCTCTGAGATAGAAACTAGGGATGCTAAAAATAATAATTAATAAAAAATGTATATTATTAACAATTTCACACTCAACACAGACCTGACATGAATATATTTCTAACTACCTTGAGAGTTTGTTTCATTGCTTTACTTCACAGAAGAGTTTTCTGGTATCACAGTTATTTCTTCCCTTTTGAGTAAGATTTTAATATTATAAAGTAATTTCTCTGTTTATCACCCCTACTGTAATCCCGAAATTCTCCCACACACACCCATCATACACTCCTTCTATAAAAACATGTTTATAATTTTCATTTCCAGAGTAAAAAAAACTTAGTACATACTCTTCTCTGTATGAGAATCTTCTCAAGGCTCTATAAACACAAAAATAGAGGTAACCTGAGCCAGGATAACTTGTTTTATGTTTTACTTCTGTTACCTGAGTTAGCAGACAATAAGTATTTGGTACAACGATACTACAATTTCCTATTGTATCATATCTGTCTACACTGTCAGATGACTCTCTCTTCAATCTGCTTGGTAAAAACAAATGGAGGTAGATGACAGATACAAAGATACACAGGTACATAGGCAAAGTAAGACTTCTACATCATAAGATTTTTCACCAAATCTTCTTGGGCTGGCATCAATCTAACAGGTTCCGTGAATTAACGGAAAATTCATATGATTATAATGTTAGTGCATATTTATCAAGTATTTAAAGTAGCCTAGGCACTGGGCCAAGTCATCCGCATGTGTTACTTTAATCTTTAGAGCAGCCGTATAGGCAGCTATTGCTATTTCTTTTCTTTTGCAATGAGCAATTAAGTCTTAAATAGACAAGGTGAATAACCCAGCCTGCACATAGAGCTGTTAAATGGCAGGCCTGGGATTTGAACCCAGTTCTACTGGACTCTAAAGTCCAGACTCTTATTCTCCTAACAACGCTACCTTCCTTTAGCATTCATGTATTTGCTACTATAAAAAGACATCTTAGTTAAATGAAATTGTCACTGATTCAGCTCCAGCTAAGCACCAGATCTGGGCACTCTGCATCATTGCAGTAGGGGTTACTACTTTGAATGGTCCCACAAAGGAACCACTTCTTGTCAGGGATTGGTAGCCTTGTCTTACATTCAGTCAGCAGGGCATGAGTTAAGTGAAAACTAGAAGTGCCCAGCAAATCACACCTTCTTTCTGAGTGTTGTCTCCGAGGGAGAGTGAGGAACACAGACTCCGCTCTGGAAAGCTAAGACTCAAATCTCTGCCCTGCCATGCTGGCTTTATGACTTTGGGCAGGTCCCTGAAAACCTTAATTTGGGTTCAGGTGTGAAATGGAGATAATGCCTCCAGTGAGAGGAGGTGCTCAATAAACGTTCTTTCACTCCTAACGTGATGGAACTCTTAAAGGGAAAGTTTCCCTTCAAGTTAGTCCAATCTCACAGAAGGTTCAGTCAATGCAAATATTCCATTACACCCATCTGTCACCTTAAGAATGAAGCTTTTAAGAAACCCTCTGGTTGGTACATTGTGAGTTATAGGAGTACAAAATTCCCTAATACAGAAGCAGTGTCTGATTTAATCTTTAGGAGCCACTGTAAGATTGCACAGTTTACTCAGTAGTAAATTATACAAACATGGAAGATAGAAATCCTTTTTAATGGGCCTGGGGATGGTAGGTGGGGTTGAGAGCAGGAGTCTGCTTGAGATCTTAAAGGCTAATGGTGCTTCTATGCTAGGCCTTTCCGTATGGTGGTTATGCTCCCAGATCCATGATGTGATCTGGGTGTATCTAAAATCTGTTGAAGAGGGTTGTTTTCTAAAAGGGTTTCACTACATTTCAGAGTTAGAGAAAGCAAATCTTTCATAGAGCGAGAAAGCCGAGCAGAGGAGAAGACTTTAAACCGAGCTTCCCATTTACAAAAAGTCTCTTCAAAAATAAAATTTGCACCATTAACTGAAGGGCAAAGTATCCTGATTATCACTTGGACTTGTTAAAAGTGAAGTTGCTCCTTGGTCTTGGGGCCAGTATTACATGTAAGCTGAAACCCTCTTCTGAGACGACATCTAGAAGAAGCACATTAGCTGTGCTGTGTGGCGGCGATCTGGGAGGTTTTCATTGTTCCTTAAAACCCACATTATTTAATCATTCTGATCAAACTTCACAAAGCCTGTAAAACCAGTTAGGATTTTCATTTGTAAACCAGCATAGATCCAGGAATTTTACATATTGGAAAACACTGGCTTTAACTTTTTTTTCCGTGTTTAATGCTCTTCAGGATATTATTTTGCAATAGAAAACAAACAAAACATTTCAGAGGCCTGTTTTGTTTTTAATACATCAACATATGCAATACTGTGGAAGTGTATATTTGGTTTTCCTTTGCCAGACTGGAATTTGGTTCCATGCTACAAACCCACGTATAATTCAGACAATAACTTACTCTAAATACTTAACTGCTTATCTCAGGGTGGGTGAGTAGGCAGAGTGGGTGGGGATCGTGCATTTTTAAGAACTGAATTTCAGACTATTATCAGCACCTTTACACTAATATTTGCAACTGTCATATTTTAGAAACATTATTCCCTCCTGACTTGTCTTCATTCATATTTTTGCCTTTTCAAAGAAGTTCAGATTCAGAATTGTAGATGCATGAGGGTTGGGAAGAATGTTAAGTAGGAAATGTCATTATGTCTGCCCCTAAGAAATTCTGGTACTCCAGGCTCTTAAATGTATTAGCACTAAAAAATTAATTAAGAAAGGAAACTCACCTAGCAAATAGAACTCTGGAACTTGCAAAGAGTGCTTAGCATTAGTGCATAAGATGCGCTCACTACATATTTATTGCATGAAGGAAGGATGGAAAGTAACTCTGGTATTTCTATCACCTGTGTGTCTTCTTTCCCTCTTGCCATCAGAATTCTACAGCTTGGTAGGGCTTTAGAAGACATTTCATCAAGCCCCTTCATTTAACAAATAAAAAAACTTCTGGATGTGCCCTGATCTTCAAAGGTACAGCCTTCTGGTTTACTTGGGGGCCAGAAATTTGTGAGGATGGGCTTCAGTGGGCCCATACTTCCAATCCCTTTTATAAGCTTGTATAGAACTCCCGAGCAAAGGCTTCTCAAAACCTAACTTCCAACCTATGTTTCTGGTTACTGGAGAAAATATAATCTACCTTGTAGCAAATATTTTACAAGATATTTGACAGCACATAATATGGAATGATCATAAGTTTTAGAATTAGATTTGAACTCAAATCCAGATGCTCCCATTTACGACAGCTGAACATCAGACATATCACAGTTTACATCTCTGAATCAGTTTTCTCGTTTGTGAAATGAAGACCACAATGCCTACATCAGAAGATTAACAGAGCTGAGGTATAGGTAAGGTAAGGCTGATAAAAGTTAAAGCACCAGGCAGAAAAGTACTAGTTGCTCAGTCGTGTCCAACTCTGCGACCCTGTGGACTGTAGCTGCCAGGCTCCTCTATCCATGGGATTCTCCAGCAAGACTACTAGGGTGGGTGAACCAATGTAATTTCTTAATTCCCTCCATATTTTAAAATGTTACTCTTAAAAAGAATACCTCCCTGGGACTTCCCTGGGGCTCCAGTTTTAAGACTCCCTGCTGCAACTGCAGGGGGCACAGTTTCGATTTTTGGTGAGGAACTAAGATCAAGACCTCCCACACCCAAATGAAAGGCCAAAAAGTAGAAAACAACAACAAAAAACCACCCTCCCAATTCTGTAAGTTTCCAAAGTAATGTGTGATTTTCTGAGCATTGTCTTACTTATGTAGGGCAGCTATTACTAACCCCCTAACTGGGCGATTAAGCAATCTATCCATGTGTTTATAAGTGGTGGAATTGAGACCCCGTCTGCTTTCAAGGCAATAAAAGGTCTGTTCTTCTGGGAGACAGTCCCATATAAAGCAGACAAGGGGAATTGTAGGGCATTCCTGGTGGCTCAGATGGTAAAGAATCTGCAATGCAGGAGGACCCAGGTTTGATCCCTGGGGGAAATTAAATTAAAAAAAAAAAAACAAAAAACCACCACCAAACTTCCAGGGTGGAAATCAAATGAGTAGTTAAGACTAAAATATTTCCGAGTTTCCTATAAAGACATAGGCAAAAGCTGAGACTGGGAACCAAGTGCATTATCTACTTCTGACTTCTGGGTCAAATTTAGATCGCTATTAATCTTTTTGTTATTCTAAATGCTCACAGCATACTGTGAT